ATGATAGTATTATAATTATTGGTGCTCATTCTATTATATAAGTAGAAATACATGAGAGAAAATGGCAGAATTCTAGATCAGGTAGTAGAAAATAGCAATAATTATGGAGCTAGAGCCAAAGACTTGTATGTTTAGGGTTAACCTTTTCTTTACTGTTTCTCATCTTTTATATTTCTTATGCTGGCACAAATATTTCAGAGACTGTGAAGAAACTGACATTTATAAATGTAAATGCTTTTCTTTAGCAAATATATTTTGAGCTCCTATGTGCTAGGGACTAGGCTTCAGGGATTGTTTGTAAAACAAATTTGTTTACTTCATGGAACTTCTGGTTTAGTGGAAAAGGTGCGTATTATATAAATGAACACAAATAAATATAAGTATACATTGTGGTAGGTGTTAGGAAGAAAAATTACAAGGTGGTATAAGAGAATAAAATGGGGATGAGGTGGGGTGCAGAGTGGCAAGTCAGAGAAAAGCCTCTTTGAAGAAGAGGCATTAAAGCTGAGATCGGAGAATAAGTAGAACCAAGCCATATGAGGAGAAGAGAGAAGAGTAATACAGAGGGACCATGAGGTAAGAAAGAGCTTGGCTTCTTGAGGAACTGAAATAAATGCAGATTGGTTGGAATATTGTGAGCTTGAATGTGATAAGGGCATAGAGACAGATGTGAACTAAATTATGCAGAGCTTTCTAGCCATTTTCGATTTTATGCTGAGCACAGTGGAAGCCACTGAAAGTAACAGATCACGTGTGATCTAAGCATATTTTGAGCTGATCACTGTGGCTGTGGATGAGATGGCAATACGAGTGGACACTTAGAGAAAGGTAGGAGGCTGTCGTATTAATAGCTGATGGCTAGTGTGATGGCAGTGGATATGGAGCAGAATGGGTGCATTTGAGATAACATCCATTTAAAGAAAGAATCAGTGGGACTTGGTGATCATTGTGCAGCTGAAAAGAGACTCTTCTGATCTATTCTCTAGATCAATATTAAATACTTTCTAGGTATTGGAGGTTTATCAATCTTCTTTGTTTTTAAAAAATTTTTTCTTAGTTAGGAAAATTCTCAAACACCCAAAGTAGATAGAATAGTCCACTGAAATGCAATAGTTGTCAAGATTTCTGTCACAGGCCAGGTACAGTGGCTCATGCCTGTATTCTTAGTACTTTGGGAGGCTGAGGTGGGAGGATTGCTTGAGGCCAAGATTTGAGACCAGCTGAGCAACATAGTGAGACCCCTATCTCTACAAAAAAATTTTTTAAAAATTAGCTGGGCATGGTAGTGTATGCCTGCAGTCCCAGCTTCTTGGGAGGCCGAGGCAGGAGGATCGCTTGAGCCCAGGAGTTTGAGGTTGCAGTATGCTATCGTGATGCCATTGTACTCTAGCCCAGGCAACAGAGTGAGACTTTGTCTTAAAAAAAGAAAGATTTTTGTCTCATTTGCTTCATTGATCTTCTTCATTTGTTTGCTAAAGTATTTTAAAGTAAATCTTAGATATCATGTCATTTTACACTTTCATCCTCCAGGATGAATCTCCAGAAGCATGTACATTTTCTTGCATATACTTGATTTTATCATTGTACCTAATTTGAAAATCATTAGTATCATATT